TTTATTATTATTATTATAGGAACTATTTGAAAACAATTTTGAAAAATCAACTGCAATAAATGCGAAAAATAGTACATGCAATACATCTACATTAAAAACTTGAGGACTTTAAAATAATTGAATTCAAGAATTGAAAAAAAATGTTTAATTCTTATATGATTTTTATTTATAATTATATAAATATAATTATAAATAAGAAAAAGTAATTAAATTAAGTAATAATATGTAAGCATGAAATGATACACATGAAAGAGAGAGAAAAAGAGAGACACTATATTAGAAAAATTATTGATATTTTTATTTAATTATATATGATTGAAATCTATCTATGACATATTTTTTTAAATCTTAACTGTTTAAACAATGCATATGAATCTTACATAATAAGAAGTCTGATATAAGAAAAAATTTTTTTATCAGCAGATTATGAACGGTAAAATTTCCCAAACCGCAAAATTCCGCTAGCAACGGGAAATACCTACTCCGTTCCTGGCTATCACTGATAAAAGTTCATCGCACATACAGTGTCGTTTTTAGCAATACAGGCTCGTACTGATTCACATGTATAATTTATTGGCAAACGGAATGCATTACCATAATGCAAATAATTACGCTTGCGTGATAAGACGCACGCTGTTTATCGCAAAGTCGGCAAATCTAGGAAAAAACTCAGCGTTTCTTTATAATTATAATAGAATATAAATATATTACAAAAAAAAACAGAAACTCATTGTAAATTGCGAATTTGTTTTTAGACATAGTACGTAGAGAGTGATATTATTGCGAATAATATTTTGCGATGTAGATAATATAATGATTAAGATTGATTCAAATGATATTTGCTCGATTTTTATCGTAAATAATCGTAATACAATCGCCAGACAAATTTTACAGCAGTCGCCAACCGGATCTGATGCCATTGACCGCCGATACGTAATATCGATTTACATGTATTCGTAACACGCGAAAACCGCGCGAAGAGCTGCCACTTTGATAACCCATCTCACGTCAATAATTCTTCTTGTATTTTTATCCATCCTACAGTCTGCATATATGAGGTCGAAAGTTGTCGCTCTGATAAAATGCTTTTGCGTTACCGCAAAAGATAGCAGTAAATATCGGCCGCAAATGTCAGCGAATCAAAAACGTCTCGTAAAAAACAGGATAACGCATAAACTTGGCAAAATATGCATTTATTATGCGCTTTCTTGATGCAATACGCTTTTTCAGGAATTTTTCGAAATTTTTAAATTCTTACCTAACGCAAAGTTTAGAAAGTTCTTTCTATTTTATTTAGTATGTCCTCATTTAAAAATAAATGTGTAAGCATGGCAAGACATACATTTGTTGTTACGCTTCCTTCATGCAATAATTCTTTCCAGGAATTTTTCGAAACATATAAATTTTTATCTAAAACACAAAGCTTAGAAAGTTCTTTCTTAATATACTTTTATTTGTAAAATAGTATATTTATTTATAAAAGTAGAAGACGAAAAATTTGCAAATCAAATATCTTACAATAATCATATATATTTGATATTCTTTATCAATTTATATGATTAAAATGGATTTTCTAAATATATCGAAAAAAAAATTATGGCAAAGTACGACCTTAAAGCACAGGAATTCTAGTAGATGCTTTCTCGTATATTCATTATCGATCTTATAAAAGAAAGTTCTTTATAAATAATCACGGCATTTTAAACGTTTTCTTCGCAGTGAGCTGTTTACTTCAAAGAGAAGCGAAGAAAAAGTCTGTCGACGCGTGAAGGAACTGCGTCATAGTGTTAACCGTTATTAGACATGCATCAGTTAATATTGTAGAAAATAAATGACGTAATGTGTGACAGAATCACGTTTTCATGCGATAAACGTAATTTTTTCTCGCGTGAGCACTATATTTTTCTTCTCAAACAATTTTATCGAAAATTTAATTAGAATTTAATTATATATTCTCTCACTTCTCAACATTAAATCTCGAAATTATAAAAAGTGTCACGAAATAGCACACGTTCAAGCTAGCTCTCTTTTAAAGACATCCGACATAATAATGACATCTATTTCTTTTAATGATACATGAATGACTGTCTGATCGATTAGATTAATTTTATCGCAAGTAAATATTAAAAACGTATTATATACTTTGCAATAAAATCGCACATTTTTTTACGCTAAAGTCTAGCAAACACTCGATGCAATTTTTGCACGCGATACGAAAGCAATATAAGTGTAACGTATTTATTCATGATATCGCCACGCGGAAAATTTTCCATTTACAAGTGTGATTATATGAGACCCTCTCGAGAGAGATGTTAAACGGTTAGTTGACTCAGGGTAAACGGACAGCGATGTCAATTGCCAGGATTTAAGAATTCCTCAAGCAGCAGGGGGCCTTGTTACATATTATAGATGATCGTAAAAACATCTTTATTTCAGTATAAAATTTTATAAGTAGTATAAAAATTCCTTTATTCTTATTCGAAGCGTTCAGAATAATATAGAGAGCAAAAGCGTATAATAAACAAAATACTAACACATTATAATTGAAATAAGTCATTTATACTCGTTATATGATCCCTGCGAGACCTAATGTATCCGAAGACTTTCGCGTCTTTTCGCTGCTAGCAATAAATTGAGCGTTATATAACGACACTCGATACCTTCGCGAAAGAATCGCAGAATGCGTAGATATCTCGTGTGCATAATCGCCGTTAATTAAGAGCTCCGCCGTTGCTACAAATGATGGAGAAAGAACAACGAAATTATTTATGAGGCTATTCTATGATTACGAATTGGAATCGTGGTCTAGTGGCGACTAGCTGTCTAGTAGTGGATTATGTTGGCTCCATTCCAAAGAGCGTGAACGCGGCGGAAACGCGCGAGGTCGATTTATGTCGCGATTTGAAAGTCTGAGAAATAAAATGAAAAATTAAGCACACGTCATTCCAAGTTGGCCAAGTTTGTGAAAACACAGGTAATGATTGACAAAATGGAAAATTTGAATGCCACCATTACTCCTAATGAATGACAATGGAAATATTGGGAGAAGCATCAAAGAACGGAAAATTCAGAATGTCATGGCTATTTGGCAAAGACTTCGTTGCAATAGTGGAAATGTCCTCTCGAATAAATCTTGACGTATATATAAAAATATATAATAAAAATATATAGAAATGTCGTGTTATTTATAATGAAATATAAATATAATTTTACGCATTTGTTTGCGCAATTAATAAATTATATGAAAGATTTTTACACAGCGCAATGTAATTAATAACGTTTCATTTGTGTATAATTAATGTTAATAAATGTATTTCCATTATTCTTTTCGAATAATATAATTTTTGTCTAATAAAAATATTTGACCTTTCAAGTTTGCATGGTGTATTGGATTCAAATATAAAATACAATATGAAAAATTTATTTACGAGAATGAGAATAAAATTTTAATCGAAAAATAATAAAATATGACGCTTGTTTCCTTTTCTAATTGAAAGTATATTTATCTTGCTCACTGTTCTTTGTATGTTGTACTCCAGAATTATTTTCGCTCCGAAAAATCAAACAAAACTGAAAGACTGTCAAGAGTGCAGTCAAAGTAAGACACTTCTCGGTAAGAAGCAAAGAAGAAGCGTTTCCGTAAATAAACTGACGGCGTGCTGCCTCGGTGACCAAAAGGGGATGGCACGTGAGCTTTTGCGGAGAAATATAAATCTGGTAGGTCCAGAGAGAGCACGGAGAGTTTCGTGTGTCATCCCTTAATGATCCACCGAATGTACAAGGCTCGTTAAATATGATTTATGCTAAAAATTTCAGTTTCGCGAATTTGGATTTCTCGAAAACAATTTTTTTCTGCATATTCTTTTTTTTATAAAAAATTACCGAGAAATTTTAATATTCTCGGGAAAAAATATACATACATATATATGCATATATATATACTTATATTTTTTAAAAAGAGTTTGCTTTATACTTAACGTAAAAATACATTTTAATTCAACAAAACTCTGACTATTATACAATATATTTATAGACGTTTACGCACACAATGAGCTCTTTCATTTTTACGTAAAATAAAATCGAACGTCCTTCTAACATAATACTGCTGACGTGATCTTACCTATACGCGATATATGACGTATAATATATGACGTATAGAATAATAATCTTGTTTTCAAGATATATTTATATTTACGTGATGGCATAAAATGTATAAAATTTAAAAAGAATATTGAAAAAGAATCAAATATAAATAATCGCAATTCTTTTGTAGATTCTTTTTTTTAATGTTATGTTTAAAATACAAAAATAATAATAAATAATAAATTTATCGATAAGTATTTCTATTAAATCTATTTTCAAAAATCAAAATAAATAATACGCATCTGTAAAAAAATATATACAAACGGTTTTATACCCGCTCGCGCATCCCTGGTGGGGATCGAACCCACGACCTTTGGATTAGAAGTCCAACGCGCTATCCTCTGCGCCACAGGGACTTGGTGATGGGATTGCCTCGATTGCTATAATAGAAACTATACATCTTTCATCTGTTCTGTGACAGATGCCGCCAGTACGCACGGTAATTAAAACGTCCAGTAACGCACCTTACGAAATGTTGTAATTAACATTTAATTTTCATGCAGAGCCAATCGTGTAAATATATTCGATTAGACTGAAGACGTGTCATCAAAACAACATATGATTACTGACTATTGTTACGATTCTTTTGCTATCTCTAGAAAAGATTCTTACAAAATAATTTATACCAGTAATTATAAATATAATTATGCATTTTGGAGCATATAAATTTTTCTAAAATATGGATAATGAATTTGTCGAAAGCGAGAGAGAGAGAAATATTTTCACTAATCAATATATCAGTCCCGCGAAATGTGATCCATGTTTCACGACGAATTGTCCAGGGCGAACAATCTGGCGCCGTTCCTGCGAGAATGAGAGCAACGGGGGGGAGAGGGACAGTCGACAAGTGGAGGGGATCGACGAGCAAGATGGCCGTCGCGGAACATATGACAAAGAACGGCGGGCTCCTGTCGCGGCATCCGACGACGGCGACATCCTCGCGACGACGAGCGGGACGCGGCACAGCTGATCGTCGCCGTTAACCGCCGCCCGTTGGCGGCCGCGTCGTCGCGTTTCTCCAGGTGCGGCGACGGGGCGATCAGGAAGATCAGACACGGGGAAAGAGAAAGAGCAGGCTGTGTATGTGCGTTGCGTGTATACGCGAGTTCGCGTGGGTGTCTCGGTAAGCGCGACTCGGGGAGTCGGAATCGAAGATCGACGTCGTCGCGTCCGCGGTGCTGCTTCGCGGTGGTGCCGCCGTCGACGCCGTCGCGTCCTGCCCGCGTCCGTGGTGACATAGTGGTGATATAGCGCGGCGCAGCGGGGGAGCCATGACTACGCGTGGAGAATGGGCTCGATCGCGTCGGTGTTGCAATGGCATTGCTCGGAGTGCGCCCTGATAAATCCAACGGAGAGCGCGAGATGCGCCAGGTGCGGGCTGACGCGGCTCAGGAGCGACGAGAGGGCCGGCGGTGTCGACCGTGTCCCGTCGATCGCCGCGGAGCGTAGCGGAAGCGCGCGGCAAGAGGAGGAAGAGGAGGAGGAGGAGGAGGGGGAGGGGGAGGAGGAAGGTGCGGGGGCGCGCGAGCGACGTTCGACGAGGGAAGGACGCGAGGACGAAGAGTGCCCACGGGCACAGGCGTCGTCGTCCACCTCCGGGGAATCGACGCCGCCGACGCCACCGCCGAGGACCGACAGATTGGCGGCGCGCAACCCCCAGACGGAAACGTCGCTACCTGTCAGCCAGTGCGGCGAGTCCCGACGCGCTGTTACTAACGGGTGAGGGTCGCGATTTCATCCCCTTCCCACCGTCCTTTTCTCTCGTGACTTTTTTCCCCCCTGTTCTCTCCCCCCTTCCCTCCTTCCTCCCCATACGTGTTCGTGTGTACCTCGAGGAACCGGCGATCTTGTCAGTCTACATGGATATCGGTACTATTTTGGTATTAAATGTGATTATATATGATTCTGTTATGTGTATCATGTTTATATCGAGCAGTGAACATAATAATCATATGTAGCCGCAACATTTAGATCTGTGTCTCTCGTTATGTATGTAGCCCTTCATGAGACTGCCTAATTATTTATTTATTTATTTATGCTAAGAAAGTGTTTAGGTACACGTCAAGGTTGCATTAGGTCTGCATCGTAGGATTGTGTTATCTTATTTAACTTGGCAAAGAAATTTAATTTTCCATAGTGAACATTGATATTGCGTTGTTTACGAGACAAGTATCACAATTATGATTGATATTTTTTATTATATTCTTATACACATTATTTAATTGTTTAGAATGCAATGTTTTATTACTTTTGTGATATTGTTATGCAAAATATTGGTATATTCTTATGTAATGTATTTCTATAAACTTGCAGTTCCGAGAGATATCTGTCTGCATGCAAAGTTAAGAAAAATTTACGTTGTGGTTCATGGAATGGCAGCTCATCTGAAAGGAAACCACTGAAACGTTTTTCGTCTTTACCTTCTTTAATCACACAATGGACTTGTATTCGATGTCTATTGGACAATAACTGCAGTTCATTGGTTTGCGCTGCTTGTGATGCCAGTGCATCAATAGCTCAAATCGATGGAAAGAAGATTGGTGCACGCAAGAGCAAAAAGATTACGCTGCATAAAGAAAATCGTCTTAAAATCCCCTCTGGACTTTTGGCCAATGTTCTAGATGTGAATGCTGGTACAAGCAACTCCAGTAATAATGATAAAATTAATAATACAGGTGAGTTTTATACAAGTATTATATTATAGTTGATCGGAATATATTGTACATTACTGAATTGTCGCTATCAAATTTTCCAGGCATGGCACAGTTGACAAGCATAAGTCGAAACGAAAGACAAAGAGTGGACCATAAAGATTGGATTTTACCGTCAATTGGAGCAATGGAGTCTACTGCGCTTCCGTTTACAGAAAATACCGATACCTCTCAACGCTCTCCGAAACGACATAGTCCTTCTATGTATGAACGGGTCAAGTCTAAAGTCAGTCGTTCGTTATCGAATGGTTCCGTTGTTCAAAAATTGTCAGAACATGTGGTGCAAAGACCCACGAGCCTAGTAGTACCGGAAACGCGGCAAGACGATGGCTTATGGAGCTGCGACAATTGCACGTTGGACAATGCGCCTGGTTTGGAACAGTGCGAAGCGTGCGACGCTCCTAGGAGTCCCGCACCCTGCAGCGGAGTGGTTATCAGTGTGCCAGCTTGGGTGCCACGCGCGCTATCATCCGCGGGACCTCTATCTTACAGAAGATCCTTTTCCGACGCCGATTCCGTTGCGAACGTGACGCAGAAGAAGACTGTCAATCGTAGAAGTTTGAACGATGAGGAACCACCCGCGGTACCGCCACATTCCATCGGCTTCAACTCGAGACCAAAGTATTCCTACATCGGGATCACAGATCCCGATATACCGCCGCCATTGCCAAAGAAACAGAGCAGTAAGTTAGGTCTGGTACCGACGAAAGCGCACAGCGAGGCGACCAGTCCGGTGGGTGATGTACCGAATATGAGTCCACTTAAGCGTATGTGGACCTGCAGAAAGTGTTCTTATGCATATAACCCATTGTGGTCCAGTGGTTGCGATATTTGTGGCTCATCCAGATCGCCCCCATCGTTGACACAACCCAGCTTGATAACTGTCACGAAGGACACGAGTAGCTATCCGACGCACGCACAATCGCCGATCGTGGTGTCGAGAGATAGTGTCAGATATATACCACCGAAATCAGCCACCTTGGCTACGGCAGAGTCCGATCTAGACGATCAGATAGATCCACCATCGCCGGTGTGGACGTGCAAAAAGTGTACTCTGTTGAATGCCGCATCGAGAACGACATGTGAGGCTTGCTGCGGCTCGAAGCTGAAGAGCATCATGCATCTAGAAGATGCCACTCTGCGAAAAGGCGAGAGCTGGGTATGCCCGTCATGCACGCTGAGGAATCCGCTCTCGGCGCAAAACTGCAACGCTTGCAAAACTTTGGCAGACTTTCTCGAAGTTCCGAAAGATAATAGAGCTCTAGGTCAACGGAGTCCAAGCCCGAGACTCTGCTCGACCCCGACAAATTCCAAAGCAGTTACTCCAAGGCACAGAAATTCTGTAAGAAGAAATGGCTCGTCAGCAGCTGACAAAAGGCACTCGAGAACTAGAGATCCTTCGCATACTCAAGTTAGTATTCTTCTTTTTCATTGAGAGATTTACAAAAATAAGTTGTACGATAATAAGTTGTATGATAATTCTTAGCTTACTAGTTTTTAATTTTAATTCTTATTTAACTCACTGCATTAGAAGCTAAAATATTATTAATTTTATGTTATTTAATAATTTTTTACATATTTTAGTGGCAATGCAAATTGTGCACGTACGAAAACAAGAGTACGACTGTTGTTTGCGAAATGTGCCAAAGCTCAAAATCGCTGTCCCAAGTATCTGGAGATAGAGGGATACCTAGGCTCCTCGAATCAGGCACTAGTACTCTTAGAATACAACGGCAAGAAAGCGTAGTAATGGAAAATCTCAGGCAGCTAGAAGAGAGAGAAGCGCTAGAGAAATGGGAGCGCATTGTTCGATATTGCAAAGAGGTAACGACATAAATCTAAAGCGCACTGTGACTCAAATATCATAAATTTTTAATGAAAATTAAATAATTAATTTCTTTTTATACACATTTATCTTATAGACAAATGAGCCGTTCGTCGACGATTCGTTTCCTCCTGCTCCGAAATCCTTGTACTATAATCCCGCGGATACAAAGGATAATCATGTCGTTCAATGGAGAAGGCCACACCAAATAAACGTGGATTCAAGTGTCGATTCTAAACTGCCTTGGGCTGTCTTTAGGACACCCCTACCCTCTGATATCTCGCAAGGTGTCTTAGGAAATTGTTGGTTACTGTCGGCTTTGGCTGTTCTCGCCGAGAGTGACGAGCTTGTGAGAAGAGTTTTGGTCATGAAGGAGACATGCCCCGAAGGTGCTTACCAAGTTAGACTATGTAAAGATGGAAAATGGACGACGGTACTTGTTGATGATCTATTACCCTGTGATAAGAGAGGTCACTTAGTGTACTCTCAGGTATATTTTGTCTGTATGTTACCAAAAGATATGCATTATAGATACCTACTAATAATATATTAATTTCTGTAAATTAATAGTTAATTTCTCTTCTAATATGTATAGACATATCCTATTATATTCATTTATATCCTATTATATTCATTTATTTACAAATTCGCTTTATTTTTATTCGCGGCATTATAAAAATGACATATGTTTTATATTGAAGGCAAAAAGAAAACAACTTTGGGTGCCGCTAATTGAGAAAGCAGTCGCTAAAATACACGGCTGTTATGAAGCCTTGGTATCTGGCCGTGCTATAGAAGGTCTAGCGACGTTAACTGGTGCCCCGTGTGAGAGCGTGCCTTTACAACCTTCAGCATTGCCAAGCGAAGACGAACTCGATAGGGACCTAATATGGGCACAACTCTTGTCCTCGAGGCAGGCTATGTTTTTAATGGGTGCTAGCTGTGGAGGAGGTAATATGAAGGTTGACGAAGAAGAATATCAACGCAAAGGTTTAAGACCGAGGTAATTCGAATATTTAATTTATTTTGTGTTATTCATATGAATTCAAGTTTGTATGCTTTATTTTCTGTCGATCGTTCCTAATCAAAACGTACATTTTTTTCAGGCATGCGTATTCTGTTCTCGATGTACGAGACGTACAAGTAAGTTTTATAGATACCAAGTTTATCATTTAAAATATGTGTTATGCCGCGCATATCGTCTTGACGATGAAAGGAAATTATCATATTACGCAGGGAATACGATTGTTACGACTACGCAATCCTTGGGGTCACTACAGTTGGAAAGGGGATTGGTCGGACGACAGTCCTATATGGACTCTGCAATTACGAGAGATGCTTATGCCGCATGGTGCTTCGGATGGCGTCTTTTGGATATCTTTCGACGACGTTTTAAAGTATTTCGATTGCATTGACATTTGTAAGACAAGAGTCGGATGGAGTGAAGTGAGATTACGCGGCACTCTTCCTCCATTGTCATCCCTCAGACATTTATCGTGCGTGCTTTTAACAGTATTAGAACCCACCGAAACGGAATTTACGCTGTTCCAAGAGGGTCAAAGGTAAAATATATCTCGCGCGCGCACGCAAGCATACAATATAACATAAATATATAATTTTATAGAAATTCGGAAAAGTCGCAACGTTCTCAATTGGATTTGTGCGTAGTAGTTTTTCGCACGAGATCTCCGGCTGCTCCGGAAGTTGGTAGATTAGTAGAGCATAGTAAACGGCAAGTACGCGGTTTTGTCGGCTGTCACAAGATGTTGGAGAGAGATCTGTATATCGTTGTGTGCCTAGCTTTTAATCATTGGCATACTGGGATGGAAGATACGTCCAGTTACCCAGAATATGTTCTCGCCATTCATAGTTCAAAGAGGCTTCTGGTCGAACAGATATCACCGCCTGCCTTTGTCTTAGCTGATGCTATTATAAGTTTAACATTGGCTAAAGGGCAACGACACGAAGTAAGCAATTTAAATATTTTGAATAATATGTTGTAATACATTATATAATACATAATATGTGCATAATATAATATATAATTATACTAATATAATAAATTCACAATATAATACTACATTAATAAAATGAACATTGCTTATATTTGCTATAATTATTGCTTAAATTCATATTGATTTATAAACAGGGTAGAGAAGGTATGACCGCTTATTATTTAACTAAAGGATGGGCCGGTTTAGTTGTAATGGTCGAAAATCGTCATGTAAACAAATGGATTCATGTAAAATGCGACTGCCATGAAAGTTATAACGTCGTGTCCACAAGAGGACAACTCAGAACTGCCGATAGTGTTCCCCCCCTTCACAGGTAAGATATCATTTAATCTTGTTTCATTCAATGCAAGATTAAACTTTACATTACTCCATTGCTTTTTTTTAGACAAGTCATCATAGTTCTAACGCAATTGGAAGGTAGTGGAGGTTTCTCTATAGCACATCGACTCACGCACAGATTAGCTAACAGTGGAAATTTGCACGATTGGGGACCGCCTGATACACAACATTGTCCTCAAATTGACACTCAGGTGGAGGGTTTGCACAGTCCCCGCTTAATAACGTGAAGCATAAAATACAGACCGAATAAAAGTTGGACATTACTGGAGGAAAGTATTGTCAAGTGGGATCCTCGGAACGTCAAGAGAATTGACTGAGAAAAACCAAAGCAAGCTAGAAACATTTCAGCATACTATAAGACGTTCTGAAGATATTAGAATACTCTTTGTGCTTTCTAGCTGATGATATTTCACGGATGCTCTTAGCGTTGCAACATGCTCAGCATTGGACGTAATACAATAAGTAACAATTAATGTACAATGGTTCTGGACCCAGTGATTAAAAAAATAGATATCTTCTTTCGAATAGATAGTGGTTCATGCATTTTGCGCGCGCTGACGGGAAAAGGAAGAACTAAAATGAAAAAAAAAAGTAAAATATAAAATACGTGCAAATTAAGTGTTTCTGCTGGAACCATTGAACCCCATAAAGAAGACTTATGGAAAATTGAATATTTATGAAGAAACAAGTTGAACATTTTGCTTGTTATATAAACAAAAAAAAATTATTTTCTCAACTTAACGTTTACGCGTCGTAAGAAATGACAAAATCTAAAGATTACATAATAATATAATGTAAAATGAAACCATTAGAGAAAAACCCGTAAATTATAATATAAGGATGTGTGTGGACACATTGTTTTTGGAATTGCTTAGGATGTAGTACGATTATATCGGATCGGGACATTTCCGATTTAACCAATGTTTACATGCCGATCTTATTGCTGTAATACGTAAGGCCGTATTCAAAACCCGCATTTAAGAGAACTTGAATTCTTAGTTCCATTCAATGCGTGCACGCGCGCGCGCGTGCGCGATATAAAAGGAGAGGCTGGAGTTTTATGCAAGAATTTCCATGTATCGACTATAGGGTAGAACGTTTAGACTTTGTTGTTCCCCGTCTTGCAATTGGAGAATGTTAAAATGAATGTAGCGTACGACTACAAAGTGAGAAAAAGAGAGAAAGAGTGAACTAAAGATCTTGAAAGTTTTAAAATAGCTGAACTCGTTCACTGCCATTCTATGCAATGTATGTATAAAGCTTTGTTCTTATTATAAAATTGTTATTAGTTTTATACTTAATTAGTTTTTGGGGGATAAAAGGAATAGTCGGTGATATTCCTCGCATACTGGCTACTATTTTCTCTTGATAAATTGGTTGCGAAATACACACGGGGCATGCATGGCAGTCAGCGGGTTAAAAGTCATTAATCTTGTGTTTGTATGCTTTTTAAAAACATGTGTTTTAAAAAAATGTTCTCTTTTTCGTCCATCCAGCCGACAATGTAGTCGCAAGATGAAATTTTATCGAGAAAAACTCAATATTTCTGTTTTAATGTCAAACTGCCATATTCCATGTTTTTAGACAATAGTCGATTGGCACGTGCGGCATGTTTTGCAATGGCAATTCTATTGAATCAAAAAATTGTTTAGTGCTCTCTATATACATTGAATGTGGTGATGCGACAATACGCGATGCTGTGATCAGTCAATAATGCTTTGACGAACCGAAAATTTAATTCTCTCTTATATCCTTTATTTAACAGAGAGACTGAGAGAGAGCATTGCGAACGCTATTTCAATTAACAGTACAAAATTCCCGTCTACTCTAAATTCACTCGTTTTATATAAAAATGAGTGGTATAGAATCATATAATCGTTTTATTTCTAGGCAATTTTTTCTGTTGACAATTTGTAAATTATATGATATTGCTGTTAATAATTTATAATTTAAATTGCAATTGTTTAATAATTTAAATTGCATGAATTATAGCTTAAATTATTCAAGTTTTTCAAATGAAATAATTAGTAAATATCACTTTATATCGATTTTTACACGTATCTTAAGTTGCGCGAGCTTAGATTATTATTCGAGAGAGAGTCATCTTTTTCATATCGCAAATCGCAGTCCCACTTATGCGATTATCTTTTGCGAAGAGATAAAACGCAAGCGAGACGTTTATCCCCCCCTCCCCCTCCCCGTCGATCTCAAAACAGCAGGCCGAATTGTCTTAGCGAGGCCTAAGTGTTAGTAACTATAGTTTTAAGAATTAAACGAAGAACATAGTTTGAAGAAATGTCCGTAATGCGTGTATTGACGGAAATACGTCCAGATAATCAATCTTTACAGCGTGACGCGCTCAAGTTCAGTAAACATTTATGATCGAGAATCAATTCTCTCGTCTCGTGATTTAAACGACGCGACGTTTTAGCATCAGTCCGCCAACTGCCTGCAAATGTCGTTTAACTCGTCGAAACATTCGAGGGGAATTTATTCTCGAAGTATTCTACGAATACTCTTATAATATTTGCAGTAGATTCTGTATTGAGTGGCCTTCGTTTACAAAAGATACTAGTTTCGTAAATATAAGACACACGGACTACCGGAGTTGTGCGTTTCAGGAAATTGGAATACAAAATCTTAAAGTTCATTAACACAAATACCGAGAGAGCGAGGAGGAAGCTAATTAAAAGAGAGAGAAAGAGGAGAAGCGTCGTATCTCTCCTCGCATCACTCCTCTCCACTCCCTTCGAAACGTACAATACTCTTATTGTGAGATCATGCGCGCACATTTCTTAAACAAACCGTAAGATACCGAAGGTGATGGAGAAAGAATCTCATTTTTTGTACCAGGCATGAGTTGCATTTTACGCGAGGGTAGTGCTTCGGAGATTATACGGAAACGCTAATACACCTAGTGCCATACGATGTCGTCGTCGTAACGACGAGATAAACCCTCCCCGTGTAAACGGACGGCGAGCCCCGACGATGACCGTACATATTCGCATGTCATATTGTAAGCGTTCTCTTCCCCCCCCCCCCGCCCCCTCACCACCCTGCGGAATAAGCAAACAAATAATCTATTTTACATATTGCATAATCACCGAGGTTGAAAGCGTTAAGAGAGCGTTCCCGTTTTACGGCGTTTAAGACCGCACCGTTTGGCGCTGTTTGTCAAAACGATGAATGCGAACATTAATTTATTAACGGATATTGTGCGGTAATCTGCGGTGCACGCGCTCTTTATTTTTCCTGTGCACGCATATACAGAACAAATCGATAGAGTCCCACATAGCGAGAAAATCTGTCACGGGATCTTGCTGGGATGATTTCTGGCTGGAGAAACGTATAATATCCCTGGAATAATTCACATAAAGCACATAAAGGAAAATGTTTGAAGGATGTATTAATGTAACCGTCATCTCGCTCTTGTTGGAGTGTACATATAGTTTTATTGTGACATTCGCAAAATATTCTCGGGATATCATCGTCAAAATTTTTTTTTGCAATTTCCATTTCTTTTATCGAGATATTCTTTCTGAGTAGCTCAGTGTATCAATATATAATATATGCTCTTATATATAATATATTGATAATATCTCAAGAAATCGAAATTGCATATGTGTATTTGAATTCAGGAATCGATTTCAATGCAATTTCCCGCAGATTTTTATTGCTCCGTGAGATATATCGACATACCGGGGAGAACTTCAACAATCGACGTTATTCTATAGCTTGAAAGTAAAAAGAAAAGTGTAAATGCATGTCGGTGGGAGATAAAAATTTCAAGCAACATTGAATAATATCGTTTGTTTTAGTCTCTCGCAGGATTTTAATATATTTTGATACAATGGAAAAGGGGCAAAGTTCAATTGTCACCGTTCTGTCAAACAATCGCCGTGAAAGATCTGCACAAGCTAGAAGCGGACAAGATGTACATTTTAAGAGCAATAACTCATCGTGCGTTTAGCGCTACACTTACTTGATTTCGAGCTGTTCTTGATAAGTAATCGCACATCCATATTTTTCAAATCAGCCGCACCACCAATCCTCGATTGGTTCTTCACGCAATCACGATTTATCGAAATTTCCTTCTCTATATCGTAGAGAGTTCTTTAGGTGTAAATGACGCGGAAATGACATTTAAGCGGAATAAAGTTCGACACATCTACGAGTGGTATCGACACAAAACTAGCTCTTAACGCTAAACGCGCGGCGAGAGTGCAGGCCTACGTAAGCACAAACATCCTGTATGAAGGAAGTACCATTTGTACATAAAGACGAATAATTTATTCTATTTATGGGAGAGAGAAAGAGGAGGGGAGCCGGCGTTGTGTTATATTTGAGTTGTTTTGCATGTGCTTCGGTGTTTCTGTCACACGCGGTTGCAAGCCGCGTGGCGAGTTTGTATAATGCATTCTATATAAATATATAAAATATATATATATATATACACAAACACACACACATAGCGCAGTTTAGAGAGTGATATACCAAGATCGAGATATGACGATGACGTACGAGGCGTAAATATACGTTCGCGTCGTCTCGCGCGTCGGCGGCGCATGATCTGTATAAAGTGTCATTTCTCAGAGAATTGTTGAAGGATTTTGCCAGTTATTATTTCTATTTATTATTATTATTATTATCATTATTTATTATTATATATATTTTAAGGCGACACATTTCTCCGCGCGTCGTCGTCACGCGAGTGCCCGGCGAATTATTTACGGACGGTCGCACGCCATCGCAGAGTATCTAGGAATATATTCTTAATATGTGAAGAAAATATAAGAAAAGTAACGGTGTCTCGTTGTATTTGTATAATAAGGTGTAAAGAGAAAAATGAAAAAAAAAAACAATGGTGTCATTCTCATGAGCGACTCATACTTCGTAAATGATGCTACATACGTACCGGGTGCATTCTAAATTGCATACAAGCGTTAATTAAATGTCTATATAATTTTTATCTCGATGCGATGAAATTAGAACGAGGATCACTCTGTCCAGTATAAACAGTAAATACAATGTCAAAAATTCGAAAGGTGGAACTTTAATATTAGTGCGATTGGAGATTCTCGTGCTTCACCGATCGCCCTGTAGATTTTGAATTTGGTATTAAAAAAGGTTCCTGTTTTAATTTCACAGGCCGAGCGCAATTTTTTAATATTGATTTTTTATTGTTTCAATATATTAGTATCCTTACAATGAAATTAAAATCGATGTTCGAGAAAGATTTACAAGAGCGACAAAATGCCTAGATAAGAGGATATGAAGGATGAAAAAAATATCGAAGCAAACATTATATCATACGTATCGTGGATTATCGACAATTCCTTTTTAAAGGAACTTACTACTTTAAAGAGAATCGAATTATATGGAGCAAAATATAATATATGAAGAAAGAAATTATGTTTTCGGATGCGCGTTCACTTTTATGTCGTTCAGCTCGCGGCTGTGATCACTTTAGAAACACCCATGTACGAACCCGAACCAGCAATCAACTTTGTGATAGTCTGTGTACCGTATCTGATGAACATCGTTAAACTAATCCCACCCCCATAGGTAAGGTGTAATAATTATTAGACTCTCATCACACATACACGTACACACACGCATACACAAATACATACGAATACACACGCAAAGGAGAAAACATATTTACTACGTCATAAAACGATAATGAGATTGTGTTGTCCCCTGATTTGTATCATGTAGGCACGTTTAATAATAAATCGAAATATTATCTAGATTGTCTTCGTTGTTTCCAATTCTACAATTCCGCATCAATTTACCCCGAAATGGTCGCCGATTCAATCAGTTCAATGAAAATTTACACAAAATACGATTCTATTTTTCCCCTGCCACGAACCGTCTGAAAATATACTTGTCATGGCGTAATATTATATTGCCAGATAATTTGCTTTAAATGCATACGATCATTTTATATTTGTCATAATTTATGTAATCTTTTTAATTTTAGATTCGAGTGATAGAAAAAAATATATATTGAATATATGTGAATTATGTGTTCGCGTGATTTATATGTATCAATACATAGATCTCCCTGTCCTTTGCCTTAAAATAGTAGCGTATACGTCCAGCCTATAATTAAACGTAGCCGCCGTAGCACAAATGTCTGCTGTTCAGTGCGATAAAGTTAGCGGCCAGTGCACGGTGTTTCTGTAATTCCGATTTTGAATGAGTGGATAACATAATTTCGACAGTCCGATACTTGCTTCAGCATCTTTCTCGAATTAAAAATATAGCAGTATATTAAATACGTTAATAAAACAGCAAAAAAATTCAATAGTGCAAAGTGACGTACGAGACACATCTTTGATATACGCTCTTTTTCAGTTTAATTTCCAATTCTAAATTCATTGAATCGGATGAAATTTTTCTAAAAAAATTGAGTAGATTAAGTAAATTAAATGAAATTTTATCGCAACCTTCGCTAATAATCTCGAGGAATTGATCAAGCATGGAAATCGCTTCGACTCGTGGGGTGTGTCCGGTGTGCGGTAAAAACGCCACGTTGAAGTGCGGCAACTGCAGACGCGAGTTTTACTGCGACAAGTCGCATCAGTCCCGGGACTGGCCGCGTCACAGATCCGCGTGCATCGCCTGGGAGATCGGTCGCGATGCCGATCTCGGACGATACCTGCTGGCGACCAGGGACTTGGCACCCGGAGACGCGATCCTGTCGGAAGCTCCCCTGGTCTGGGGACCGTCGACACACGCGACACAGCGGCTCTGCGTCGGCTGCGGCAAACGGTGCAACGATGACATCGATATGAGATGCGGCGTGTGTCGCTGGCCCGCTTGCAGATCCAATTGCGAGGGACTGTCCGATAAAAAGAGGCACGAGTCGGAGTGCGCTCTTCTTGCGCGCGCTAGAATCATTCCCAGGTATATCGCGTGTCCCGACAGATCCAGGCAAATAAGTTTTAAACCGTTCGAGCCTTAATTAGCGAAATGTTTAACAAGGCTGGGGAAATTTATTTAATCGCGATTTTTACATCGCGATCTCTCGTCGTGAAACGTTAGACGCGTCCTCTCCTAAAGACGCGGGCGTTTCTCAAGTCACACTTGTCTTCGTTCCGTCGTTAACTTCGCGATTCATGACTCTACGCCCGCAGATGCGAAGTTCTTCTGGTGATTCGTATGCTGATACTGTGGCGCACAAAGTCGAAACGCTGGACGTCCTTGGCGAATCTGCAGAGTCACGAGGGCTCGCGGGGACCCGGCACGGACGCTCACGACGAAGTGACGAGCATAAGTCAGCATCTCGGGCCGCTCTTGATGGCGTTTGACTGCCAGGACATTTTGCCCAAGATTTGTGGGCTGATCGATGTGAACGCGTTGGAGACCATGCCGCCGGAAGGCTCGATGGCGATTTACGAAAACGCGTCCCTTCTGGAGCACTCTTGTGTGGCGAACACGCGACACAGCTTCCGCATCGACGATAAAGGCAGACCGCGTATCACGGTGTACGCTGTCACGTCCATTAAAAAGTACGTGTACATCTTTATTCGGTTCCTTCAAAAATCACATCGCTTTTTTTATATTTTTATTATTGTTATCCTTAAAGTTTATTATTATCTTCATCAGATCAAAATTATTTTCAGAGGGGAACACTTGAGTACCATGTACACGCACGCGCTTTGGTCCACTAGGATCAGACGAGAACATCTCCTTGTCACGAAATACTTTGCTTGTCGATGCAAACGTTGCGCCGATCCGACCGAATTGGGCACGCATTTAGGCACTCTAAAATGTCCTTGCAAAAATGGACTCATGTTACCGAACGATCCTCTGAATTCAAACACCGACTGGTCCTGCAACGTATGTCCGGGAATAGTGACGGCCTCGGAAGTCGCGCAGTTGATGGATAGATTAGAGGAAGAAGTCACGGGGATTATGAAGCAGGCAACCGAGCATACTTTATCCGATCTTCTATCACGGTAAAGTAACATCTGTTATTCTCTATGACATTAAAATCCTCAATTAAAAACATATTAATATTTAATGAGTAATTAAGTTGTATAAATTTTTTAAAAATTGTAAAACAAGCATTGATACATATAAATTTTTTACGTAATAATTAATATAGTATGTGATAATTAAATTAACTTATTCATTTTAGGCTAACAGTCCTGTTACATCCCGGTCATCAACATTGCATATCCGTGAGTCATTCGCTGATACAACTATTGCCGCCGAACGATCCACGAAAGTTGGAATTATGTAAGCTCATTTTGAATACGGTAACCCGATTGGATCCGCACGGTGCGCGTTTGGCGCTTTATACAGCCGTTACTCTGCGAGAGCTCGCGTCGTGTCCTGACGAAGACAGACAAGCTCATCTCTTCAGAGCAGCCTCGCTGTTGAAGATGGAACCGCTGGATTCGCCTGGTCAGAAACTTCTCAGACTTGTCGAAATGGAACTCTGCTCCTTGTAATGATAGAGGAACGGAGGTAGTTATTAGAGGCGGACAAATATCGTTTTATTTCCGCTCGGTCTCGACAATCCTTGCCATGTGTTTCGGTCGGACTCGCAAATGGATAGAATGGGGATGAGATAAAGACTACCTGCTATGACGGAAATCGAGACCTTTCGGTAACTCGGGACTCGGGATAGATCTTTTGATTCCTGGCGATTCCCGAAGTCAAGATGATACAGCGTGTTGCGAATGGAATGAGTAGGAAAGACTTTCCCCTATCCCCAATCCATCTAAGATGCGAGCATCAGAACTCGAAATCCCGATATATTCTCGATAACAGTGCTCTCGATAATATTCGTATCGAGAATTTAGTCTTGTTAGCGGGAACAAGCGGGAGTGAGAGCAGATTTGCCCGAGACTCTAGTAGTTATAATTTTATTATTCGAACAAAGCGTCGAGTGAGAAAGGATTTTTATTAAAAATCATGCACGCGTTACATAATATTGAGCGTGAGCAATCACTTGTCATTACTTGTCTAAATTTATTTATTCGTCTTCTCGATTTCGAGTGTGTAATTTATATTCACAGATACACAGGTAGCCATAAAAGTGGCAAAAATATTCAATGTACTTATTTAGGATAAAGGTGTACGTATAAAAAGGCTTATAATTATGCAAAGAATGTACATACACGTGTTACGTAAATATCAAAATATACGTTGATGATGTACATGTATATCTTATGGTCGCTCCGCGTTTGCCGCGGGTGCTGATTGTACATACATTGTCGTAAAATCTAGACTAGATGACTGTGCCACGTGAAATGCGAACGAAATCCTGAAATCCGGAAGCAATTCTTCCTCACGCGTGTTATATTTATTCGTTGACCTGTTACAATGTCTCACGTCTGGTTGGCGATCGAATTTAACAGCAAGATAAACTAATACGAAAAAGATATATTTATCGACCAAAAACTTTATAACGTATAATCGCACATATTTGTACTTACATTTTGTTAAGGAACAATTTTGAAGGATATAAATATTTAACGTGACATCTACTTTAATATTTAATATAGATTTATGTAATTCAGATCGAGCATCGTTATCAAAATAAACGATTCACGATATACCTCGATTCTCGAAATATCGTGCGAACGGCTGTCTCTTTTCTTATTAATGTTTAATGAAAATAAGTTGACCCTGGACTCACCGACGGTGGATTATCATCGCGTCGCTATTATATAGTACTCGCTTGACAGGAATCACGTGGATTACGTTACGCAGGAACGTCGCGTGCGCACACCCAGCAGCGGATAGGACAAGGACTGGCCCTTGAGCTGCGCCGTGATCTGCAGGAGGTAGGCCTTGCCGGGTTGTAGCCTCCTCAAGGTGAACGGCAGCGCGCGATCCTTCGGAGGGCTAGGCTTCTCCTCGCACACCTCGAACGTGTATTCGGACCGCCTGCGCCGATGAAGCCCGCACTGATCGGGCACAGTCGTGACACTGGTCAAGGACGAGGAACTCCGCAGCTCCTTCACCAGGATGCAGTACTTCGCGGCGCCGGCCGGTTCCACGCCTATCGTCACCTCGTGGCAGGTCCTCAGGGATCGGTACTCGCGCGGCGGGCTTCTAGATGGTATCTGCGTCCAGAATGCGAATTTGTACTTTTGATAAGATTTAGAGATTCAATTCGATGATGCGATTTCATGCATGTTGAATATTATTTGGAATTTTTAAAAATATTTGGATGTATCTTCATCTGGAGAGTCATTAGTTCCACGACATTAGAAAGCATGGAAAGAAAATAGAGAACAAAACAAACACAAAAGAACTTTCTCACGCTCGTTAATATATACAAGAGGAAATTTGTGTATCTAGTTCGTAACGTACTTGCGGATAAATGGTCGATGACTCCTGTGTGGCTAGTACTTTTATCGTAGATACTCGAACTAGTTCCTGCGGTGTGGTCGATATACGTAACGTGTACGTTTTACCGGGAGGTAGAGGAGGGACGCGTAATGAGGCATATCCAACCACCTCTTTTTCCTATCGATCATACGAAATATGCACTTATATAAATGTCAACGGCGTCGCGCTAAAGCATTTCGATCAATGAGCGATCAGCTGTTCTATCATTGGTCACATCTGATCGCTCTTTCCGTAATTTTTACCCGCAATATTCCTTGTCCGCTCAATTTCGCCTTCACGATGCCTCCGCCGCAGGGAAGTATGTGAAAGGTGCTCGAGGTGTTGTCTGGCGGGCGGTAACGGAAATTGACGAAACCGTCTGTTTTTCGTAGATTGGCGGTAGTGTAATGACCGGTACGTAACGTCAGCTCCGGCGTCTTTTTGAATCTGATTGAGTCGATGGCGACCCGATTTGAAACGTTATTCCGGGTGTTTACCTGTGTCGAATGTACATTTTTTCACAACTTAACGACACGCGAAATATAGCCGTAACACGATTAAATCTAATTTTTACAGAAGAGTAAAATTTGCTCTATGAAAAAAAATTATTAATTGAAGAAATTAATAATATTTATGCGATCATTTTTTATTCTCGCGTGAAAATCAGAACGAAAACTGGAGAAAAATATTTCTCTCGAGTGTACTTTGCTTCTGTCAAAACCGATCGCGCAATTTCACAAATGATCGATTCAACTTGATCCAACGAGATACCAACCACGTATAAAGTAAAGTTGTACGTAGTGTCGTATCTCATCCTATGAAGCGTTAACTTGGTCTGTCGCACGCAGTGCAGACCTTCCGGGATGCCCCGATGATGATGTTCCTTCGAGGCGATTCTTGAAGTCGAGTGCGGGTGAACTTTTAGAACGCTCTGCGCGGCGCAGAGCGTCGACGGGTGCGGCTGCGAGCCCGAAGTGACAGCTAAACAGTAGTTTGAGAGATGAGGATCTACGTGGCTGTAAAAACAAATGTTCCGTCTCGAAATCATCAACGCACGAGTCAAGCTTGTACCAAGATTGCGCAAGATGCATTCTTATCTCATCACGCGTCTTTGCATCAGAATGAAGCTGAAAGGGATCGATACCTTTTGTTCCAGGATATCGTCAGGCGTCGTTTACTGCGCCGCTGCTGAAATCTCAGCGAGCGATGTCGGTGCTCCTTCTCATTCGCGTACAGCACACCTGGTACGTAGTCCAGGGCGCTGGACGTCGCGTACAGGAGCACCGTGCCAGGTTCCGTCGAGACGTTGCTCGCGGACTCCACGGACTTGATCTCGAACCAGTACAGACCGGCCCGTGTCTTTGGTATCGTGAAATTTTGGTCGTCCGCGCCCACGTACGTGAAGAGAGGCGAGCCCGGCTTCAGAGTCTTCACGGGCCACCGCGTTTGCGCTACGTGGTAAATTGATTCGGAATCATTCGATCGATCAACAAAGGGTTTGCAGGGGCGCTCGATTATTCGAGCTTCGTCTCATCCGCGACGCGATCGTAAGCAATATTTTCCAAGGTGGATATTTGTCAAGTTGAATTAGGTTTCTTTCGGAAATTATTTTTGATCGTTTTTCGCAAATTATCACAACAATTAAAATATTTTACATCAATTTCAGTCATATATAATAAATTGAAAATATAGAAGAAACTTTTAAGGAAATAGAAAAAGGATGTCGAATCGAGTCAGGTAAAGAGACGAAGATGATGGACGAGATGCGGATAAGTAGTGTGTTAATAATGACAAAATAACGTCGAGCGCCGCTGGCTCTTTATCATATCCTTCCAGTTATTATAAGAATGAGCAGAATTTCACCGTACACTTTACTCCTTCCGCTTCCTGATCATTTTCGGGCGGCTCCACGTAACTGACCGTCCAAGATATCGGGCCGCTGCACGGGCTAACGAGTAACGTGAGAGGCGGGCCTTCCCGTGGGCTCAGGTAATAGAACCTGCAAGAATTTCATCTGCATCCAGTTTGATATTGGTGTTCGCGGCACGTTGAGCGTACGCAAACGTCGAATGAAGCGCGATATTGCATACGTATAATACGATCGGCGTAACGGCAATGCGCGACGTGAATCCTCTCGGAGTATCGTCGCGGAAGTCACTTCATTTTTAATATCTTTATCACGCGCGTACAGAGAGAACGCGCCGAGATCGGCCAAGATGACTCGGACTTGGCGGATGCCGCATTCCGCACGTGTCGCGAAGCGCAAAAATCGCCACCGATTTATCGGCTTTAACCCGGAGCAAACCTCTCGTTATCATAATCGGCGTCGATCGGCAACTTTAATCCGATGGAGACCGTGTAATCGACATAATTACCTGGTAGTCGCCGCAATCTTGAAGTCACGCAACATACGTGTACACGCATACGCATTATACTCCGCATCCATCGTGCCGTTATATTTAGTCACAATATTTGAGATCGAACTGATACGATATTACTTTCCGACCCCACCCTCCTCGGTCACTCAATCTTTTCTCTCTTCTTCTTTCGAAAGTTACACCGATTAACTTTACGCCTCGACGATGCCGCGCTCATCCTGTACCACCTCCGCTCTTTCTCTTTCTCTCTCTCTCTCTCTCTCTTTCTCCTTCGTGCGTCTGCTCGGAGACGCTCTTTTTTTCTCTCTTTTACGTCGATGTCGACAACGCGCGCGACTCAACCAGTTAGCTTCCAAAGCGTCGTCATCATCGTCGTCGTCGTCGTCGTAGTCGTCGTAGTCGTCGTCGTCGTCGTCTTCGTCTTCGTTGTCGTTTGCGAGGAACGTCGAGACTTGCTGCAGCCACCACACGTGCTCCTCTCGTTGGCGCGTCTGGCGGTGTGTGAGACAGCTATTGTAAAATTAGCGTCGGGGCACAATGCCGGCGTCGCGGCGTCTGGGGTCGCGCAGCCACGACCCCCGTGGTCTAAATACAGCATCGTCGAGTCGTCCGCGAAAGAGAGAAAGAAATGGAGAAGGAGAGGCGGGGAGAGCTCCGAATTGATCCTGTTAGACGGTCTATTCTCTCTTCTTCTTCCTCTTCTTCTTCTTCCCCTCAGCCCGATGTCTCTGTCCTCCTTGTCGCGGCTTTCTGCCGCGAATTTCGTGGAAAGTCGGGACCGAGATAGGTAGGGCGCTTCACGGCACGTGGCCACGCTCTTCCCTATTCTAGCGTGCGATCCGCGAAACGAGCGACCCTGTGGATGGTGGACACATCGCGAGAACCACGATAGCATCGATGACACCGCCGTTAAAGTGAAGTCGAAAGTTGAATTGCAATTGATCATATCTCTCAATCATCGGGTCTATATTAAATTTAGAATATTATAATGACTGTTTTCAAGTATAAAAAATATAGTAACGATCGTTTTGTCGAGTTATAGAGAGCTGAAAAATTTTTGTGCGAGAAATAAAAAGAAGACTTGAAATATTTCTTTCAAGCTTAACGCTTTCAAAGCTATTTATTCCGTACGCTCGTGGAAGATGATTTTTGCATAATGAATATCTTGAAAATCGCAAAAAATAAATTGACTATGAAATCACCACTTCTAACAAAACACATAATTTATCAATAGAATCCGCGGCACGTGGTATTAACGACGTAGGAAGTATCGTGGTCTTCGTGTAGCAAATTTGCACACGTGCAAACATTCGAAGTATGAGGATCCAGAAAACGTTTTCTATTAATAATTCAACAAATGTAGCTTTATTGTTTGCGCTGACAGATAAATTATCTCTCTGCTATCCTTTGAGACAAATTATTATTTATCCGCGCAAAAAATGTTCCCGTGCTAAATTGTAATTATTAAAATAATTAAACGCTACGAAATATTTTTTTTCACAATTTTTTCAAAAGGGCACGCATAAAAAATTGCCCTTTTCAAACTTGTTAAATAACTCGAGAATGAATTGCAGAATATTTTTTGATGATGTTTTGCAAAGTAGAATCATATCTGTCTGACCATCATTCATCAGGATAGTACGAATGTATCGAGAAGAGTATCGTGTCCATTAGGTTTTAGCGTATTTCTTCAGGCTCCAAAGCCTTTATAAGCGAAAAATTGAACCTAAATGCCTGTTCTTTGTAAAATTGGAAATTTGTAACCTCCGAGAGAGGAGTGCATGTAATTCTGTACCTCGACTTTAGTCAGAGTTTCGTGGAAACCATCTGATAGAAGGATTTTATGACGCGTAGCGTCGCGACGGATCGGACCATTAGACGCCGGTGCATATTGTAAGGGTGTAAAGGGATACAAGAGGACAATAACGGAAGGGTAAAATTTTAGCGTCCGACTTCATCGCGCGTGCAACAATCGACAATTTTAATCTTTTCTCATCATCAGCAAATTTCGAGCAAAATTTCGATTAACCATATAAGCAATAACTGATATCTCTCAATTAAGAAAATTCATAAAGTAAATTAAAATGAGCAAGAATGAGTCTCAAACGACTTCATTATTCATTCTATTACCGTTCAATTAACATTCCGCTTGTCCTCCAATCCTATTCAACGGCTATCATGAAAAGTAATTATTAAAACTTCCGACGATCGCGCGAATTAGAAGGAGAAATAGAGCTGTAAAACTAAAAAAAAATTTCCTTGAACCATTATATATAGAGCAAATTACTCGTGGAAATAGAAATGATTTTTATGACGCTCGTCAACGGCCCTCATCTGCCTTTTCCGCGTGCGATGTTACATCTCGCTATATTCATTCACTCGCGAGTGAACGAAAATATTGGCCATAGCCGGTCTCTCTGTACGCGATGTGGGTCGAATGTATCGAGTCGCATGCGTACGCAAAATGTGTGCATCGAATTACGTGAACGAGCGTCGGTTCGTCGTGGTTGACGAAACGTGGTACGGGGTGCGTGACGTTAGTGTAAACGTTCGCGATTCTCTCCGTTGTGCGTATCGAGCAAACAATTTACGCACTCAAAAATAGTTGTTTAAATACTTGGCGTCGACTACGCACAGGCATACGCACGCAGCACGCTTGCGCTAGAATTGCGCTTGCTAATTTTGCCGCTCGAAATTTGTAAACGAAAAGCGATTTTATCGCAAATCCGCGACTATCGTGAAAAAAATTCCTCGGTATTTTTCTAAATTTTAGATGCCAATTATATTCTTAATGGATCATGGATTATAATACATAATTTAAATGCATTCTAATTTGAAATATCACGGCACAAATTGTTTGCGCACAATTTTATCTTAAAAAAATGTGATATAATAAAGAAAAAAATGATAATAAAGATAAAAATGAGATAAAAATACAAAAAAAATTTCTGAAAGCAAGATAAAATAATAAAATATAATTGAAGTGAATTGGAAAAATTTAATAAATTGTTGAATTATGTTATGCATGATGTTTGAAACAATATGTAATTTTACATAATAATAACATCAAAAAGAAGCGTGGTAGTGTCTTGTGCCAAGTTATACAACACATAGTACATATTCTTGACGAAGATTAATGTCAAAACTATACCTTCTAACTTCGATAAATTCGCTCCTTTCTAGAAATCGAGAAAATCTATTAAATTTGCAGTGAAAATTACATGGAAGCAATGGAGCACTCGTGCAGACGATAATCGCAACATCTGATAATCACAGCAGTGTGGTATAATAATTATCCGGACTAAACGTACCAGTAGTCATCTCGGATAATCAAATGCGGCTGGACGAGGAATCGACACCGTCGCCAATGGAACGATACAGGCGGTATCAATTCTCGCTGCGCTATCGGTCCAACTACCATCGTCGCGGATGACGACGTCTCGTAATCGTGAGAAGAAGCATGAATCCACGACAATCTACTAAATACTCACTGAGACACGTTGCCGGGCCTGATGGTCGCCGGTATCTGGTACTCGGGATGTAAGACGCCGGTTCGGTTGAACTCCTGGACGCGGGTCGGCTTGTCGGCGCCGAACGGTCTCGGGCTGCCAATCGTCCGGTACAGTTGTTGCTGTTGCTGCTGCTGTTGCTGCTGGTGTTGCTGCTGCTGCTGCTCGGAAGGCTGTTGCCTGGCACAGAAAGGGCAACCGGCGCAGCTGCGCGCGATCGACGCGAGTATCATCAGGATGCCGATCATGATGCACGACATGATGCGCGCCAGCGATGGTCCCTCGCACCCCTCGATCTCTCGATCTGGACAGTGACGACGGCGACGACGACGGCGACGTCCGTCGTCCAGTGGCGAAGGAGTTCGACTGTGTGCCGAACGAGCGAGCGGACTGCCGTCGCCGCCGCCGCCGCCGCCGGCGGCCGACGAAACGAAGTAACCCCTCTCGCTTCCTAATCGGACGACCTCGCGTTCGCCCCCCGTGTTCTGGGAAGAACCCTCCTTCCCCTCTCTGCTTCCTTTATTCGCATCGCGCCCCCTCGTCTTTCGTCGGATTTCTCGTGTAGCGAACTTGTTACCCCCTCGCGACCTCCTCGCGGTCGCGTATGTGGGTGACCCTAATTCCCACGGCGAAACGCTCGTGATAATGCGTTCGCGTTGTCGTTTTACGTTTTAAACGACAGTCTATGACACGAATCGAGTTTACTTCGCACATCTTATCTTCCTTCTTGTTTAAGAAAAGTCACTTAAACGTAATATACAATTATATATACAAAAATTTCGATCTCGAAATGTTTTTATTTATTATTTCTTTGTTTTATTTTTTTATATTATTTTATCGTATTGTTATATTTTTTTATACTTTTTATATTATTTATTTTTTATATTTATTAGCTAATGATGTATTCGAGTAAAATATGCATATGCTTTTTAACTTCGAGTTATAATTAATTTAAATTAAATTTCTTTTATTTCTTTCTAATTATTTTGCTTTTGAAAATTATGTTTTAATATCTTCATACATGCCACCATGCCCTGCGAGGAACAAAATTGATCGTATAAACTGGGAACGCGCGATAACGATATCCAGATCGAGTTTGCGAAATTCGCACCTCCCACCCACGCCGGGAGAAGCCTTCGAGAGAAAGAAGGTGATTGTCGGCTTCAATACGGGCGGTGGGTATCGGCTGGTTAAGGTAAAACAAGGTAGACGGACTAGAGGGGGCCGAACGCGGCGAACGGCCTTCCTGTATCAACGGGGCGCGAGGAAAGAAGGAGCCGATATGACGCGAAGATCGTGCATAGAGGGAAGTTATATACGGCACGGCGCGCTGTATCATGGACCAACCATGGGACGATGATGACAGCAGGTCTGGCGAGTGGCAGGCCAATAAATCATGGCCTGCGGTGTGGGAACCTCTGCCTACATGCTACGTGCGTATGGGCGTACGCCATCGGTAAAACCTTTACTCCCGTGCGGGCCCCGAGTGCGGGAAGGGGGGACCGTGGTGTGTAACGACGTGCGTGTGTGTTTATATATATATATATATATATATATATATATATATATGTAAATGCATGCGAATCATGCGTATACGCACACGTGTGCACGCACCACGTGCTTGCGCCGTTCGATCTCGGCGCGGGCCGCACACGCACACGCGCACGCACTCGGCGCGTACGCGTGTGTGCGCGCGCGAGCGGGGCATCGTTATGCACACATCGCGTTACATTGTTGCGTTGTGGAAGCCAATTGGCCGCGATGAGTGACGGTTCGACTTCATGAAGTTGAGCCTTTTTTGGCAGTCATTTTTGCGGGCCCGCCCGGGCCCGGACCCGCGGGACGCCGCGGTACGATGGCCGCTTCGTAACGCAAACGGCTCGCTTCCAAAAACGGCGTTGCTTATCGAACGTCAAAAGAGAAAAAAAGGAAAGAAAAGAAAAGAAAATGCAATAGAGAGGAAAGGATTTTTCTCTTATTTCTTTGACGGGGTCACAGATCAACGGGCAATCCGTCACAGCGCGTTAACGAAACATTGTTTCCGCAGAAGCTGCTGATTATATTGTCAAGTGTAGAAAATATACTAGCTCTCTCTTTTTTTTTTTCTCCAACAAATTTTTCCCCGCTACAATAATTATAGCGTAAAAAAATTACTCCACTATATTAGATAATTTCTATTCTACCCTCCACATCTATCTATATTAGAAATTTCGCACATTTTTATCTTATTATATTAATTATATATCTAATTATAAAGTGCGCGCGAAATAAACACCCAGCCCCATTGTTAAGCGGGATCGTTTATATTTTAGCAACGGGCCGAGGGCCTGTTTCGTCAGGTTGATTAGTTTTAGATCTATTTTAAAAGTTTCCGAGATCACACGCATACACACTCTGGCATATTGGCGGTTCCTGTGTGTCCAACAAGCTACGATTCTCGTATACCGTTGTCGACTTGCGGACGAAAGGGAGG